GCCAGCTTGACATTCATACCTAATGGTTCCTCAAGGCAGTGGGATTTAGAATTAGAAGCCCTTTTAAAAGAAATATAGAGACAAGGGACGCTTATTTTTGAATGTGTAAGATGTGTAGAAGTTACACCGCAATATTAATAATTTTCACAATATATAGGTGGTTTCACCAACATTAAAGTTAATTTTTTTAAATTTTTTTTCTATATTTATATATTTTTATTATTATATTATATTATATATTATATTATACTATATTATTATACTATTTAATCTCTTCAATTTCAGCAAACCTCCGATAATTCTACTAATCAAAGTGAACGTCCAGCACTTCCAGATTTTCAAGCGCAAAACTCTCAAATTGTTTCTTCTGATACATCACAACATCATTTACAAACTAATATAGATGTTAAAAATGATTCCTCAATTGTGGATTCTCTCTCTCCTACAACAATTGATGATAGTTTTTCGGATAATAGTGCAAGTATTGATGAAAAAGAATTACTTAAACGTACATTACAAGAGTATTCTTCTGTGTATATTGATTATCAATTAGAAGATGACAATGATCGAAAATCGAATTTATACCGAATGTCTTTGTTAGGTGCTAACAAAAGTGTTCCTGATAACATTGGTAGAACTTATGATTGGAGTGCTAAATCTTCAAATGATATAATTGAGAATATGCCAATAAATACAAATTATACATCCAATTTTTTTGATAATAAAAGAGTAAGCGGAAATACATTTATGAGTTTACCGGTAATAAAAAGTGAAAAGAAAAAAGCAGAATCTAAAATGGTACTGGAAGATATAAAAACATTTAGCTTATCGCGAGTCAAAGAAGAAGATGTTGAAGATGATGCAATTGATAAAAAAATTTCATCAAATTATTCAAAAACAAATATGAAAAGGAATACAAAAAATTCAAGTAAGCACTATGACGTAATGAAGATGCACGTGTGTTTTTAGTTTTTAGAGTTAGATTTTCTTTTAATTATAATTACATTGTAAAATAATCTGAAATTTTTACGCAAAATTTATTTAGCGAATTATGAAAGCGTATCCACTACGCATTTTGATCTAAGATCTCCTATACAATCACCCAGGAGTACAGATGAATCATCTCCTAGCCGTAAAAGTAGTAAAAAATCTTTTCATAGCAGTAAATCCACAACATCTCTTTTTACACCAGGTTCTTTAATGGCCGAAGCTGAAGAACACATTGCATTATATTCATCTATATCATCACAACAACGAAGAGTAGTATTGAATAAAAGCGCATCTCACGGTTCTTTCAAGGATATAAAAGATGAAGATACGATTTTTGATAATAGAACATTAAGAGCTAATTTAGATTCAAGATGTTTAAATGTGAAGTCAAGACCGGGAAGCGAAACAGGTACGAATTCTGGTCTCAGCCCAGCTACGATTCCAAAACGGCCGGATAAAAAATTGCCGGATATACCAAAAATAGACTTAAAATCTGAGGCTGATGTGTCAAACTCTCGTTCACCGCATCGTCAAGCTTCCAGCATTGCCAGTTCTAGTTATGAAACTGCCAGCGGTTCAACTGCAACTCTTCATACCGCCCCACCTTCACCAATAACGGACATTATAGATCCCTCTAACTCTGAAGGAACTACACCAAAAATACACGTTGACGACGTCGCAATTGTATCTAGCCCACTTGAGACTCATTTTTATGAAGATGCTAGCGAGGTTTCTCTTTCTGAAGCAAAATTTGCCGCCAAAAGGTGCTTCGATGAAGATGAAACTTTTATTAAAAAAAGTTCAATCGCAGAGTTCCTAGGTGGAACGTAAGTTGTTTTTTATAGAATTTATGTTTACATATTCATGTTACTTTACTAAAATATATTATTATTATTATTACAGAAAATTTTTGCAAACTCATGCATTGAAATTTTATATGGAATATTTTGATTTTTCAAATTTAAGAATAGACATGGCATTTAGGTACGTTAGTCCTTTGGCATTATAATAAATATCAGTATAATGAATACCGATCCCTTTAACTACCTTTATTTGGTATAGGCGCCTGTGTGGAAAATTATACATAAAGGGAGAAACACAACAAGTAGATCGTATTTTGGAAGCATTTTCAATTCGTTATTGGGAATGTAATCCAAAATCAATATACGGTAGTGCTGGTAAGTCTTTCTCTGTTATTTTATTATGAATTTGTGTACTATTTCGTGATGTCAAATTCAAAATTATTCTTTTAGACATTGTTCATGCAATCGCGTATTCGCTTCTACTTTTAAATACCGATCTCCATATCGCTCAACTTTCTAGTAAGATGTCACGTTCACAATTTGTACGGAACACAATGGCTGCAATCCATGTTCAAATCAGCCAGGCAATGCATAGTCCTAATGAGGCATATGAAGATGATCAAAGTACAATAACATCAGTTGATACAAATGTAACTTCTAGTACATCAGTTACTGCACGTCCACGTCGTAGCGGGAGTATTAAAAGTTGGCGAAGTAACACAAATTCAAGTATGGCCAGCTTGACATTCATACCTAATGGTTCCTCAAGGCAGTGGGATTTAGAATTAGAAGCCCTTTTAAAAGAAATATATGCAGCCATAAAAAATAATCAAATAGTGCAGCCATTTACATCTGAACCTGAAAGACCACAATCGGATCCCTCGAACACTCTTTCACCAACAATACAACGTAGTATTAGTCTTTTAGGGCATCAAAGCTCTAGAATTAATGCTCTCAAGAAAGGGATCGCTGCTGCTAATGCGAGAGCTCGCAAAAATGCGAATGGTAAAATTTCTCCAATTTCTCCAAGTCCCAGCTTTGGAAGCTTTGGTAGTGACACAAGCCTCGGAGTAAGAAATGATGTTATTTACTTATGATTTGTGTTTCCCTCATATTGTTATGTCTTGTTTAACAAATAATTATCGGTAAATTTAGGCTGATAGTTTGGCTCGCTCAAGTTCTCAAACATTGCCTACATTATCTTCATTTTCGCTTCGCCACGCATCTTCATCAGAAACAGCACTTACGTCCACAATAGCCGAGTGTAATGAGGATGAATTCGATAATGACAGAGCATCTATTGATTCAACATCCACTTCCGAATCGTTGGAGTTATATTTATCTGGTGCACCATATGCCAAAGAAGGATTGTTGGTCAGAAAACAATATTGGGAATCAACAAATAAAAGGGCTAAGGATAAGTACTGGAAAGAATGCTTTGTAGTTGTTGAAAAAGGTGAAATACGAATGTACAAATTTGATACTCAAAGTTCGACCGGTTCAGCTGGCGCTGGTGCAATAGGCGGAGGAAATTGGATGGTATTATATCTTATTCGATTTATATATGATCATGTATTTTATTTAATAATTTTTTGAAATAACCTAATATCAGGCAAACGCAACTGTTATGGGTGAAGTAAACCTCCGTCACACTATTACCAATGCTCTACCTCCACCGGGCTATAATCGTTCCCGTCCTCATGTGTTTGCTCTTTCGATGCCCAATGGTGGTCTTTACTTTTTCCAAGCTGGTACAGCTGAATTAGTAGATGAATGGGTATCAACATGCAATTATTGGGCAGCAAGGATGAGCAAAGAACCTTTAACTGGTGGTGTGAGCAACATGGAATACGGTTGGGGTAGATGTTTAGAACCAATACTCGATAATGATGAATTTTCAGATAAAAAAAGTGTAATGAGCGACCATCGTAGTATTATGAGTGGTGGCTCAACTTATTCTAGTGATCGAATTTTTGTTAATGAGTGGAAAGCACCGATACCGCCCGGTGTCTCTAGTAATCTTGATGAAGTATGTAGTTTTTTTTTTTTTTTTTTTTTTTTTTTAACTTAATACAACAATAATTGAGTAATACGGTTAATGCGATTCAATTTTAAAGGCTGGACAACTCGCTGCTCTGAAAAAGTATAAAGGAGATCTTGAAGAAGAACTAGAACAGCATAAGAATTTCTGGGATCCTATGTCAAAATTGGTAATTTGATTTTATGGTGTTTATTTATGATTATGTGTATACTATTTTCATCATTTAATCTATTTTATTTCCAATATTATGATATATCATCTCTGTTTATCTCTACTAAATGTTGGTAAACCCTGGAGTTTCCATGATCCATAAGCATCTAATAAAATCCCAACCCCAAAAACAACTTGGGAGAAAAAAAAAAAAGCTTCAAAATAACAGCAATAAAATACTTTTTAATATATTTTTTATTATAGATTTACATTTATCATTTAACACCGGAAGTCTTTTACCAAGAGGAAATTTAGAAACACCCTAATAAAATTTAATAGATAAAAACAAATTATAATGTAACGTGTAATACATTTATATATATTATATAAATACAAAAAATACGAATGGTTCACATGAACCAATAAATAACGTATATATATATATTTTTTTTTAAGTGCCCCCGTAATAATTCACCAGATTTATAGTCTACATATTGATTTTAAAGGAGAAAATCATACATTATTAGCAAGGGTATTTGACAAATTATTAATTATTATTAAAGAAAAAAAAAAAAAAATTTGGTATCAAAATGTTATATATATTATCACCTCCATAATAAGAAATCATTATGCAAAACGATCAACCCATTTG